TGGCGGGACCGCGCACCCTCCCGGCCTGGCCAGACCGGGAGCCTGGGGTGCGGCGGCGCGCAGCATCACCTCCGAAGCCGGCCAGAGGCGACTGAGGATGATCTTTCCCGAGTCGCTCTCAGAGATCCCGCTGTCAGTGTTCCCTGTAGACTTTTGCCCCACCCCGATGTCTGCAGGCCCCATTGGATTGGGGCTGCCAAATTGACTTTGCTGAGTTGGGGAGTGTGGCCAGCTCGTCCTTCCATCGTAGGACGGGTGACGGCTGGATGCTGCATTGTCAAAGGGACCCATGTCCGTGCTGGCGTTTCCCTCTGTGTGTGTGTGTCTGTGTGATGTGGACTCTAACGTTGTAACTTAACTCTCGCCTCCGTCTGTTGATTTACCGAAAAGTACTTGTAAAAATATCGCATCTTTAGGTGCTCATTAGTTTCGTCTTCCACTCTGACGTGCCCTCCAAGAAAACGTGAGAAGAAAAGCTTCATAGGATATTGTCTACCTCATCTATATTTACTTTTCCCTTTAAAAACATTACTTTGCCTTATATTGTTTAAGACAGGAAAGAGAATGGGAATTAAGTATTATTCGGTTTCCTTAGTTGTGGGAAACAATGTATGGTGCCTGAGGTATTCAGCATACTATAATGTGTTCCCCTTGTGTTTAAAATATAGTTTCCTCAGGGAGTAGATTAAGAATTGAGTCTATGTTTTACATACATACAAGTGGAGAGGTCTCTTACGAAGTGGTTTAAATATTTTGTGTTTATGTAGTTAGTGAATGTGCAATATAATATACATTGTGTCGTCCTCATTCTGCTTAATTTTAAAATCTTAGAGTTAATACTTTCTTAAGCTTCTGTAGTCATCAAATTATTACATATAATCACTCCTGTTGGAAAAATAAATAGAACTGGGCTGGTGAGATGGATAAAAAGGCCCTTGCTGCCAAGCCTGACAGACAACCCGAGTTTGATCCCCAGAACCTACAGTTACATATTAGGAGAGAACTAATTTCTCAAAGTTGTCTTCTGACTCTCTCTCTCTCTCTCTCTCTCTCTCTCTCTC